TGTGTGTGCTTGGTGTATGTAGTGTGTGCGCGTGAGGTGTATGTGTAGTGTGTGCGAGGTGTATGTGTAGTCTTTGTGTGTGCGCGTGAGGTGTATGGGTAATGTGTGTGCGTGAGGTGTATGTGTAATCTGTGTGTGCGCGTGAGGTGTATGTGTAGTGTGTGCACGTGAGGTGTATGTGTAGTCTGTGTGCGTGCATGCACGTGAGGTGTATGTGTACTGCGTGCATGTGTGTGCATGAGGTGTATGTGTAATGTGTGTGCATGCTTGCGCGTGAGGTGTATGTGTAGTGTGTGTGCATGTGTGCTTGGTGTATGTAGTGTGTGTGTGCGTGAGATGTATGTGTAGTGTGTGTGCGCGCGTGAGGTGTATGTGTAGTGTGTGCGTGTGTGTGCGAGGTGTATGTGTAGTCTGTGTGCGTGCATGTGCGTGAGGTGTATGTGTAGTGTGCGTGTGTGCGTGTGTGCACGTGAAGTGTATGTGTACTGTGTGCATGTGTATGCGTGAGGTGTATGTGTAGTGCGTTTGGAAGGGGTGTGCTGTGCCTGTGTGGCCACACTTCTGGGGGTCCCGGTGTAAGCTCGGGACGCCTGTCCCTCCCCTGCCGTCCCCACAACAGCTACTCCAAGGACTACGACCCCGAGGACTGGCTGCAAGTGGACGGAGCCACGGGCCGCGTGTGGACGCAGCGGGTGCTCAGCCCGGCCTCGCCCTTCCTCAAGGACGGCTGGTACAGGGCCATCATCCTGGCCCTGGACGACGGTGAGCCGCCAGCCCGCCCCTGGCACGGGGGCGCTCTGACCTGGCTTCGCCCTGGGGCTCAGCTGTGCCCCCTCTGCGCAGACTGGCAGGGCGGGCCTGGGCGGGGACGCTGAGCCCGCCCGCCCCTCCGCCCGCAGCCACCCCGGCCCGCACAGCCACCGGCACCCTGTCCGTGGAGATCCTGGAGGTGAACGACCACGCCCCCGTGCTGGCGCCGCCGCCACCAGGCAGCCTGTGCAGTGAGCCGCACCAGGGCCCGGGCCTCCTCCTGGGCGCCACGGACGAGGACCTGCCCCCGCACGGGGCTCCCTTCCACTTCCAGCTGAGCCCCAGGCTGCCGGAGCTGGGCCGCAACTGGAGCCTGAGCCCGGTCAACGGTGCGCTCCCTGCCCCGCTAGCCCGCTGCTCAGGGACCCGGGGGGTCGCGGCTCCGGGGTCCTGCCGCGTGTGCGCCCCACGGCTGCACCCTGGGAGGGCGGGCTCACTCACGTGCCCAGCGGACGGATGGGAAGCAGGCCCGGGGTCTCCGGATGCCCGCCCCGTCCGGGCACTGGGGGGCAGGCGAGGCGGGGCCGGCCCGGGAAGTCGCTGACCGCGGGCGCCCTCCTCAGTGAGCCACGCACGCCTGCGGCCGCGGCACCAGCTCCCCGAGGGCCTGCACCGGCTCAGCCTACTGCTCCGGGACTCGGGGCAGCCGCCCCAGCAGCGCGAGCAGCCGCTGAACGTGACCGTGTGCCGCTGCGGCCAGGACGGCGCCTGCCTGCCGGGGGCCGCGGCGCTGCGAGCGGGGGGCGCGGGCGTCAGCTTGGGCGCCCTGGTCATCGTGCTGGCCAGCGCCCTGCTGCTGCTGCGTGAGTGCCCCGCGCCCGGCCCCCTGCCCCCGCGCTCTCCAACCTCGCGGACCCCCACCCTGGACCCCGCCACGGGCCCCGCGGACTCCCACCCTGGACCCCGCCACGGGCCCCGCGGACCCCCACCCGGACCCGGGACCCGCCCCGCCCCCGCCGGTCCCAGCCTCTGTCCTGTGTCCCCAGTGCTGGTCCTGCCCGTAGCCCTCCGAGCGCGGATGCGGCGGCGTTCGCGGGGCAAGGGGCTGCTGCTCGGGCCCCAGGACGACCTTCGGGACAACATCCTCAACTATGACGAGCAGGGAGGCGGGGAGGAGGACCAGGTGAGGGATGGGCTCCTCCAGGTGGCCCCGGTGAGGAGGGGCAGTGGGGCGGGAACCCCAGCCGGGCTTTCCCAGTGGCCCGGGCTGAGCTCCACCTCCCCTGCCCGCAGGACGCCTACGACATAGCCCAGCTGCGCCACCCTGCAGAGCTGAGCGCGCGGGGCGTCCCTCTGGGCCGGCCGCCGCTGCGCCGCGATGCCCCCTACGGCCGCGTGCCCCCTCAGGCCTCGCGAGCGATGCCCACCAGCCCCGCCGACATCGCGGACTTCATCCATGATGTGGGTGCTCCGGGGACTCGCAACCACACGGGCGGGCAGCGGTGCACGCACGTGCAAGCGCAGACACGTGCATATACGCATGTGCGCACATCTACACACATGCACATACGAGCGTGGCACGTACATACACACGGGCACACACGTGCACACACGCTAAGCCTTTCCAGAGATGCTGTGTTCTGTCAGGTCCTGGTGGGTGAGCTCACCAGAGGGACCCCTGAACACAGGCAGGGCCCCCCCGCCTTGGGGTGCACAGGCTGGAGCTGGCTCTGGCTACCCAGGAAGGGCTTTCCAAGCATGTGGGCGTGTCCACCCCACTGGAGCCACTGGGGCGTCCCCAGAGCTTTGTCACTCTATGTTAATAATGTAGTAGACACCAAAGCAGGAAATCCACTGGGGGACAGCAGGGGAGGGGCTCACAGGTAACCCTCCACTACACCTGCCTGCAGCCCAGCACTCCGCCAGGAGAAGCCCCCGGCACACGCACGGGCCACCTGGGGGGTGGCAGGCACAAGGTCTGGCTAGGAGCACGTGTCCCCACAGCTGAGAGGACAGAGATGGAGACAAAACCCCGGAAGGCAGAGCCGCTGGTCCGGTGGACGAGGGTGCCCAGGTGGCCTCATTTCTGAAGGAGACAGGGCACAGTGGCAGGGACAGCACAGAGTCCTTGGGGAAAGGGCTGGTCGTAACCCCCAGGAAGGAGTGCTCAGGCCTCTGCCACCCTCCTGTGCTGGTGCCTTGGGCCACGGTGCCCTGGGCTGCGGCTGGGCGGGGGAGGGTGCCCGCTGGCCCCTGCGTGGTCCTGAGCTCCCTGGAACCTCTTTGCAGGGTTTGGAGGCTGCGGACAGCGACCCCAGCGTGCCGCCCTATGACACGGCTCTCATCTATGACTACGAGGGGGACGGCTCCGTGGCCGGGACTCTGAGCTCCATCCTGTCCAGCCTGGGCGACCAGGACCAAGATTATGACTACCTCAGGGACTGGGGCCCCCGCTTCGCCCGGCTGGCAGACATGTACGGGCACCCGAGGGGGTCGGACTAAGGGCCTGGACTTGGCGCCTCGATGTGGCCACTGGGCCAGGGAGGGAGGCTTTGTCCTGGGTACCCCTCCACCCAGATGCACAGGGCACCTGCCTGACCGTGGGAGCCCGTCTGGACACACCAGCCCCAGGCCAAGTGGCAGAGGTGGCCTCCAACCCGACAGCCCGAGGGCACCTGGCCCCACCCCATGGGCCCTGGGCGGCCTCCTCCGGGAAGGGCCCAAGTCCAGGGCAGGACTCAGCGGGGGAGGGGGCGTCTGTGTAGCAAGAGCTGCCCTGAGTCCCCCCGCTGGGGCCACACTCCCCCCACTCCTACCTGTGCCTCCCATGAGCGGACCTCCTCTTTGTACGAAAGTGAGCAGCCCCTGGGTAAATCTGAATGGAAAACATGCTAGTCTCTGCAGTGCGGTCGGTCGGCGGGAGGGAGCGCTGGGCGGTGGAGGGCTGCGGGGCGGGGCCTGGGCGCTCAGGTGCGCGGGGGCGGGGCCCGGGGTGCGCAGGTGCGCACGTTGCGCCGGGTGCACGTGGGGCCGCCTGCGTCCCTTCTCACGCCCCCTCCGGCGCACTGCGGCGGAGCCCGGGATTCCCTGCCGCCAGCGCGCACGCGCGGGCCCGGAGGTGCGCGGGGGCGGGGCCCGGGCGCTCAGGTGCGCACGTTGCGCCCGGGTGCGCTGGGCGCCCGGCTGCGTCCTCCGTGGCGGCTCCGCTGCGAGCTCCAGGACCGGGGGCCCCGCCTGGCGAGCCCGAGCCGCCCTGAAGCCCGGGCCGGGGCCGCTTCCACGGGTGGGCGGCTCCAGGCGGTCGGGACCTTGGGCGTCCCGGTCCGGGGCGGGGCCAGGGAGGCCGCGAGGCTGCAGGGGTCGGGGCCGGGGCCGCTGCGCCTTCGTCTGCGTCTCAGCACTTTCCAGGTTCCCAGAGGATTCTGCGAGGTCCTCTTCCAAGTCACTTTATCACGTTCTGAATCCGTCTCTGTGAATCTTCTGGCAACGGCACCGCATTCCTGCGTTCGGTAGGGAGAGCGGACGCCTCGACGCCGGCGGAGTCTCCGGTTCCGAGAACAAGTAAGGTCGTTTGGGTTTTTTTTTATTTTGTTTTTTGTTTTTGATTGTTTGGTTTTTGGTTTGTTTTTTGAGACAGAGTCTCGCTCTGTCACCGGGGATGGAGCGCAGTGGCGTCATCACAGCTCACTGCAGCCTCCAACTCCTGGGCTCCAGCGATCCTCCCGCCTGGGCCTCCCTCAGTGCTGGGACTGCAGGCCGAGCCACCGCGCTGGGCCACGGTCGCGTTTGCCCTCCACTCTGATTTCTTTGCGATAGCACAGTGAGGAAAATCACACCGGACGCTGCGCAGTACTCACAGTTTCCTAACTACTAATTGGCTTTTTTTTGCTTTGAGAATGGTCTCTGTATTTGCAGAGACCCCTAAAATCCCTCGTTGGCAGTATGTTGCATTTAAGAACGCCGTTAGCTCCTTTAAAAGTGTTATTCAAGTTCCATTCACCTAACACCATTCCAAGGTGTACAAGTCAGTGTCATGGAGCAAATGTGACGGAGCCACCGTAGACTGCACGGCGCCAAACTGTCCGTCAGGTGGAAGTGGGGGAAAAAGAAAAGAAAGAACACAGTTCCAAAAATGCTTCATCACCAGGAAAGAAGCCTGTGCCCATTCGGCAGTCGCTGCATGTCCGCGCCCTGTGGCCTGGGGCAGCCAGTGATCCGCTTTCTGTCTGGATTTGCTGATTCTGGGCATTTCATTAAGTGGAACCACAGACCACGTGGCCGTTTGTGCCTTCGCGTGGCATCGTGTTCCCAGGGTTCACCGCGCTGTAGCTCGGTCCGTGCTGCGCCCCCATCTGTGACCAGGGACAGTCCGCTGTCTGGACAGACGACCACATGTCTGTCCATTTCTCTGCCCGGGAGCACCGCGCCATCCCCACTCTGGGCCGTTTGTGACTAGTGCTCGCTCCAGCGCCCGTTTGCGGTTCTGGGCAGGTGCCCAGAGTGGAACGGTTGGGTCACGTGGTGACTCAGTGTTGACATCTTTGAGGAACAATTTACTTCCTTTTTTTTTTTTTAGAGTGATCTTGGATTTAAATTTAAAATTTTTTTAATAAGGGCAAAACGTACATAACATGAAACTTACTATTACTATTTTGTCTGACAGTGCAGCCTTGCCTCCTGCTCTTTTTTTGTTACTAATTGTGGAATATCTTTTTCCATCCTGTCACTTTCAGTCTATTTGTGTCTTTGTATCTCCAGTGAGTCTCTAGTAGACAGCATATAGTCGGATCACTTGTTTCTGTCCATCCTGCCAACCTCTGTGTTGTGACTGGAGCATTTAATCCACTTAAAGAAAACACCAATGAGGAGGCGCTTCTGTCATCGTGCTTCTGTTTTCTACGTGCCTTATAGCTTTGTGGTCCCGCATTTCCATCCTCTATGTTTAGTTGATTTTTTATAGTGAAATGTTCAAATTCCTTTCTTATTTCTTTCTGTGCATATTCTGCAGCTGTTTTCTTTGTGGTTACCATGGGGATTACCTTTAACATCCCAAAGTCATAACACCCTCAGCTGAATTTATACCAGCCTGGCTTCCATGACATAAAAACTCCGCACCTGTACAGCTCCAGCCCCACGTGCCCAAAAATATAAACCAATTCTTTCAAGTGCATTAGTCTCTTAAAGTACGTAGGAGAAGAAATGTGGAGTTAGAAACCAAAGTTACATTAATACCAGCTTTTAGACTACTACTTGCTTTCTGAAATGTATTAGTCTCTTAAACCACATGGAAAACAAAAAGTACAGTCCTTCCCACGGACGTTGCAAGCTGTCAGTAGACTCCAGTTCCAGGTAGTTACACCGGAGACTCTGCCAGCGCCACTGTGGTCCAGGTGGGGGACGGATTCCTGTGCTCCCCACACCCCATCTTCCCAGAACTGTCTCTTCTCTTCCTTTTAAAAATACTGTGCTCATCCTTGTGAATGTAAAATATCTCACTGTGGTTTTGATTTGCATTTCCCCAGTGACTGAGGATGTTGGGCATTACTTCACACGCTCATTGGCCATTTGTATATCTTCTTTGGAGACATGTCTGTTCCAGTCCTTTGCCCATTTTTAAAATTAGGTCGTTTGCGTTTTTGTTGTTGAGTTTT